GTCACACCTGAATGCTCACATCCTTTTAATTATGTTTGAAATTATGAACATTGCTCAACATCATGAAAATTAAACCTTATTTTCAATAAGCAATCCTGAAAAATATTTGGGGGTGCTTAACTTTTTTCCAGGTGTATATATTTTTTTGTAGATTTTAATTACCAATTTGTAAGTTTTCCTATGTTCTTTTAAAACTTTCCAATAAGGTTTTTACTTTATAAAACTTTAAATATTATCTTTGTTTGGATTTGTTGGTGTTTAGTATTGCTAGTATACAATATAAATAACATTTTTCTCCATACCAAAATTACAAGCAAGCCAGCTCTTTTTAAACTTTTTATAAATTATTAATTATAAGGTTTTATTCAATAAATGTAATAAGTTTTAAAATGTTTTATTTTCATCTATATATACACACACACACACACACACACATATTTATGTTTATTTTCTCTTTGCCCATTCAAGCAGTTATTTAAACTGATAAGGCCTAATATAAACAAGGCCTAACGCAGTTGCCTGGTAGGTTAAACAAAATAATTTAACTAAGCCTATGTTATTTTGTTGCATAAAAAACATTTCTTTTCCTATTATATTGCAATATTATACTTCAAATGAAGCATAAAATAATAAAGCAAGCTTTTTACGAGTTTGAAAATATTTTACAAATCAAGACTGTAATTATCACAGAAGTTGTTCACAAACATACTTCCTTCAAGCAACATCTCGCTAAGCTTTTATCATGTTTTTCCTGTATGTGAATCTCTGATGAACTGGAATCCACATTGGTTTATACAGTTGAAAAGAATAGAAAAAGACCTTTCATTACATGTTTAGACCATTAGCCTAAGGCTTCTTGAAGCTAGGATAAAAAACCATTACATCACACTGAAACAATAGAGACTGAAAAACGGTGATTGGCTAAATTCAATAAACCTACACTTGTAGTTATTACAAGGCCAAATTAGCACTATTTTATTTAAAACTATTTACATGTTTAGACCACTAGCCTAAGGCTTCTTGAAGCTAGGATAAAAAACCATTACATCATTCTGAAACAATAGAGACTGAAAAACGGTGATTGGCTAAATTCAATAAAACTACACTTGTAGTTGTTACAAGGCCAAATTAGCACTATTTTATTTAAAAATATTTTGAATTACCTCCTATGAGCTACAAGTGGAATATTATACCTCAGAAAAACATGTTTTTTGTTTGGAGGAAGCTGAAATTAACCCAAGACCAAAATTTGGAATTTTTGAAATCTTTATGTATAAAATTATAAAACTTTTTTATTGAATAAATTTAAAATATTTTTTTAGTGCATTGAAGAACAACTACAATTTTACTTTCTATAATTTTTCCCTCAAAAACTTACACATGTTAAGTAGTCTCTGGTCACGTGACCTCTTTGTTCTTTACTCTATACATATTCACATGTCTATGTAAACTACTTGTACCTGATGATGATACAACCTCATTGAAACGTTGTACAACTGATACTGTGTTAACACATTTGCTGCCTCGTGCTCCACCGATGGGTCACAGACAATTATGTTTCAAAGCCAAATTTCTTAAGTTTGGGATACTGTGACTGCTCCTCGGCACCTCTTGAATAGCACTAGGGTAGGAATTATTGATACTACTGGTGGCAGCGAATAGGTTAAACTGGTAATAAAGTTTTCTTCGTTACTCATTCAAGCCATCTTTAAATCTCATTGTGTCAAAGTGGGTTCCTCATCATCAAATATTTAATGTTAACCCTACATTAAATTCATACACTACTCCCAGACATTTATATTTAAGAGTGAATTCAAGTCAATAAGAATACCTATACTGAATTGTATATCTATTTTTAAAACATATATTTCATAGTAAACTTTACAATCCAACACAAACTTCAATAAGTTTTCTTTACCTAAATCAAAATATGTAACTATTTTAGAAATGGAATAGAAAAGAAACTTACTTTGGATAGTTTGCTGTAGTCTAATAAATCTGGTCTATGTCGATGAATCAGAGCACAAAAGGCTAGCCCATCCTTCCAGCTATCAAAAACAACATTAAAGGTTAAATCTCACATTTTATAACTTCTCTATTAACAGCAGCTTCATCCTTAATGCTTCTATAAAACAAACCAATTAAAATGCAAGAACCAGAAAAACATAAAGAAACTCTTATAATCTGTTTCACACTCAAATATATAAAAGTACATTATATGATAAACAGATGAGCTAAAGTGGTTTGAATATAATCAAGTACTTAATTCACTTCTTTTAAATTATTGAAAATTAACATATAAATAATGCATGCCTTATTTGTTAAAAAAGTTTACATTAAGAATTGAAATTAATCTGATAGTTTAAGCTTCTTATCTACCTGTAAAAGGACTTATTATCCTTATTTTTATCTTGTTAGCCACCTGTTTTGGGGGCTTGTTACCACTAGTTTTGCATCTTGTGAGACACCTGTTTTGGGACTTGTTACCACTAGTTTTGCATCTTGTTAGACACCTGTTTTTGACTTGTTATCCACTTATTTTTAAGCTTATTATCCTTAGTTTTTATCTTGTTAGCCACCTGTTTTGGGGCTTGTTACCACTAGTTTTGCATCTTGTCAGACACCTGTTTTGGGGCTTGTTACCACTAGTTTTGCATCTTGTTAGACACCTGTTTTTGAACTTGTTATCCACTTATTTTTAAGCTTATTATCCACCTACTCTTAAACTTGTTACCCATCTGCTTTGGATCTTGCTTATCCATCTGTATCTTAACTTGTTATTTGTTTGTTTTTTAACTTACTTGCTTGTTTCTTTTTTAACTTATTTGCTTGTTTCTTTTTTTAACTTATTTGCTTGTTTTTTTAACTTGTTATTCACTTGTTTTTTGAACTTGTTATTCACTTGTTTTTTGAACTTGTTATTCACTTGTTTTTTGAACTTGTTATTCACTTGTGATCAATCCATTTTGAACTTGTAATTCACTTGTTTTTTGAACTTGTTATTCACTTGTGATCAATCCATTTTGAACTTGTAATTCACTTGTTTTTTGAACTTGTTATTCACTTGTGATCAATCCATTTTTAACTTGTTACTTCCTTGTTTTTTTGAACTTGTTATCCATCTGTTTTTAACTAGTTATTTGATTGTTTATTAACTTGTTATCCATCTGTTTTTAACTAGTTATTTGATTGTTTATTAACTTGTTATTCATCTGTTTTTAACTAGTTATTTGCTTGTTTATTAACTTGTTATTCATCTGTTTTTAACTAGTTATTTGATTGTTTATTAACTTGTTATTCATCTGTTTCTAACTAGTTATTTGCTTGTTTTTTTTAACTTGTTATCCATTTTTGAAGTTCATTTGAGGAGAATGATGAAAACTAACATTGCATATAAGCTTGAAAATATGTGGATAACGCCAATTAAAACATTCTTGATAAGTTTATACATAACCAACTACAGTTGCTTTTAAATTAAAACTACATTAATGTAAAAGGGAGATGTTAACATTGACAATCCTTTTTTATTCATATAATTTCAATTGGTAATTCTTTATCCTCAAAACAATGCTTCATTAATTTCTAGTTTCAGTCTCAAGGTAACCTTAATGAAAAACCTGCCACGAGGAACAACGAAATTAAACTCATGTTGTGACAACCATTCTCACTGTTCAGAAAATTCAATCATTTATAAATTTCAAATTCTAATGCCCTCTGGGGGTAAGTGGATAAATTTTAAGTCAAAATATATGTCTACCTACGTACATTATATCTGAAAAGTGTCACTGTTTTTTTAATTCTTGAATCTCTGATCTTGGTTGCGATCTTCATACTAAACAAACAATATCATAATCTGTAACACTGACAAACAAACAATATCATAATCTGTAACACTGACAAACAAACAATATCATAATCTGTAACACTGACAAACAAACAATATCATAATCTGT